GGAGGGTCACTTAATTTAAATCAAGTAAGAAGAAAAGCCAATGTCAATAGTGACAGCAAAGTCAGAGCAGTATCTGTTTGACATCAAACAAATGATCCACCTAATGATGTCTCCTCTGGCTATATGAGCGTGTTCCACCTTTGTCTCGCTGGGAATTTATTACTACCATTCTGGCATGGAGAGCTGTTTGGAGGAATAAGCATTTACACTAGGTCACCATGGCCAGCATCATCTGTGTCTGCTTCCAAAGTTCTACGGTGGATATTTACTAAGGAAATCTACGGGGCCGATTCATGACACGCACACAATTGAAGTGAGACTGTAGCTAGGTTACAGCGAAACATCAGACAATGACAATATTGCAGCATAAAAGATGAATTATAAATGACTTTAAAGGAACAAAACAGCAGCAATGTGACGGTTGTTTTATTTCTCTCAATAGTCCCCTCCTTGAATATAATTCCCGAAATTGTTTCACAAGTGAAGTTGTGTTAAATATAAGATAAGAAGAGACTACAGTGCTTTTATTTTGAAAAGGAGGTTTAAACAGTACTGTGGATATGACTACAAACAGATCCTTTCACTCTGCTCTTTTGCTGGGAGACGCCTGCAATAAAAATATAGACTCTCTAGTGAAGCGTTGCTGCAGACGAGGCTGAGACGGGCCGCTCTGATCTCTTAAAATGGCTCCTTTGATTCTAAAATGTTGCTGACCCCTGATCTAGGCATTGGCTTTTCATAACTCATTGAATCACTGGTCTTTTTCTTGCTCTTTGGGTTCTGTAACTAACATTTCCTCACATATCGCCACCTTCTTGCAGTACCAAAGGTGTTTTCTCTTCAACTCTTAACCTTGTTTAACATAAGTTCAATACAGATAAAGTTATTATTGTTATTATTATTATTCAGTGGCAGAAAATGGCTGCACTCTAGTACATGTGCAACATGTGTGAAAACAGCCTGAAATGAGATCTTATTAAGTAGCACTTTATGCAAATCAGAGAAACTGCCACTGAGCAAATATTTGCGCCCCAGGAAGTAATTTGTGGCACGCGTAGTAAATTTCCATCTCTGACTATCAAGGCCTCACTTTAAACCGTTACCAAACATGCATTGGCTGACTTATGTGTTATGTATGTGTGTTCTTAAGTGCACACCTCTTTGTTGTTCTTATGTGTGTGTGTGTGGTTAACGGCTCATAAAATTTTTGTTTTGTTTGTTCTTTATTTGATAGGTGGAAAACTGGTGTCCTCGCCTGCCCTGGAGGACAAAGAGCCTGACTGAGGAAATAGACAGGAGGGGACAGGTGAGAAACACAGCCAACAGCTCCTGTAAACTAAAAGCACAACAGACACTTACAGTATTTCAGCTGCTCTTTTCAAGGGCTTTCATCACAAGTCATCGCTTGTACCAAGACAGATAATGGTCTCTTCACACTCTTGTTAGAAAATTCTGATTCTTGCAGTTGCTCCCATTTTGTAAGTTTACCTACTTAATGTCCAAATCAACAAAATAAAACCCCTTTTGACGGAGTTTTTCTTAAAGGTGGCAGCATTATTGCTAGAAAAAAAATGTTACTGGTAAGATAACATTTCAAGTGTCAACGCTTGTGGTCCAAGTGGCTTGAATGTATTAATTTTAAAGAGGCTTGTGTGTGTGACAGCTCCAGACTTTGTGACAGCAAGTTTTGCCATTAGCATACATTTTTAAACGGAGTCCCTGTCGACATTAAGTCCCACTCCATCATCCTGTGTAATGTGGAGGCGCCACAGAAGAAAATGACACTCGATGCCATTTGATGGGGTATTTAATTTTAAGAAACACTCGCATACATTAGTGTAGTTTTGAATATTTGATTGTTTAAAATATACCAAAATGGCAGTGAAGTGCGAGAGGTAATCTCCCATGCAGTGCGTATGATGATATTTTAAAACGAGACAGCAAATGAGCAAGCAGACTGAGGCTGATCCACAGTGTCAACATGCCTCGATGGCATAAAAGAGTCGAGGCAGTTCACGCAGACCAAAGCCGGAGTGACGGGACCTTGGGACAAATCTGGAATAATGATCTTCTATCCCTGCCAACGCGGCGGCTCACTCAAATCCCACTTAGAGCGCTTCTCCGAGCCGATAGGCTCGCGCACAGTCCGCAGTATCAGCGCTCCTCGAAAAACACACACCCCCTTCCCCTTCTGCTGCGGGTGAATCAATATTAAGCACTGTTCATCCCCTCTCTGGATGCATCAACAGCACTGAGCCCTCGGTGGTGGGGAGATGCCATTTGACAGGCTTTTGGAGATTTTAATTCAGGCCCAGATTTTAATAGGTTCAGTCTGCTGAAGTGATTTCCTGTCGTGATGAGGGATGCTAATGCCCGGCAACAGCCTTGTTTCAGCCACCTTAGCAGCTGGTAACGGCACTGTGGTTTCTCCTTTGCCCGCTGCGTCTTCCTCTCACTGGCTCTGTCTCATTCCCTGCTTCTCTTTCTTCTCTTCAGGCGGTCCACGACTCCTTGAGTTTCAATATCTGAAACATGTGAATGAAAAGTATTAAAATGTTCACTTTAAGTGCCCTGTGCTGTATTTAAATGAGTTACATTATAGTGCAGTGTGACTCAACAAATCCTGAAAATATGGCCTGCAGTAGCCTCAGTTTCGTTTCTGTATTTTGTAGTGCACATATACTTCCCTCTAGTTGCCACTCTTACAACACAGGGTGGGTTTTTACAAAACAGACAGATTTGTTTTTCATGACATCTTATTTGATAATATACATTTGGACATAATGTCTGTTAATGTAGCCTACTGTTATTCATATGATATTTATTCATTATTTTATTTTAATTCTCTTCTCTCGTCGTTTCCTCCCCTCTCCTCTCCTGTTTTCTGTTCTCTTCTCCTCATTTTCTTTCTTTTCCTTTTCTCTCCTCTTCCATATAAATAAGCTATTAAAAGTGTGACTGATGTATTCACTACTCTCACGATACAGCCAGAGTTCACATTCGCTCGTAACACAGAGGCACTCAGTATTTGTCGTTCTTAATAATGATAATAATAATACATTTTATTTATAAGCGCTTTTCTAGATACTCAGACACAAACATCAAATAGTAAAACACACAAAAAAAACACTAAAATATACAATTATGATATTATATATATTTAATCGGATTAATAATTAAAATGGTTAAACCTGTATATTTAATAATAGTCCTGCATTAGTTTAATTACCTCATTAATTGTGATTAATAATTATATTAAATATGTTCTGTCTCTAACGTAAACACGAGAACTGACCGACGTGACTGACAACCAATAGGATGCCGCGCTTTCATCGTTCTGCACCCTGATTGGCTGATCGCTCCCGAGAGGGCGGGGCCTGTGAGTCAACAGCTTGTTTCGGAAGTGGAGGCAGCGGTTCGGTGAGTAGAGACAACAAACAAACAATAAACAGCTCCGCTGTTTACTCAGAGGCACAACAAAACAAACAAATAAACAGCTCCGTGTTTACTCCAGAGACAACAAACAAATCAATAAACAGCTCCGTGTTTACGCCAGAGGACACAACATAACAACAAGTAAACAGCTTCCGTGTTTTACTCCAGAGACACAAACAAACAATAAACCAGCCTCCGTGTTTACCCAGAAGCAACAACAAACAATAAAACAAGCTCCGTGCTTTACTCCAGAGACACAACAAACAAACAAATAAACAGCTCCGTTTTACTCCAGAGACAACAACAAACAAAAACATATAAACAGCTCCGGTTTACTCCAGAGATCAACAAAAAACAATAAACAGCTCCGTGATTTACTCCAAACAACAAAACAAACAATAAAACAAGCTCCGGTTTACTCCAGGAGACACAAACAAACATAAACAGCTCCGTGTTCGTACTCCAGAGCTACAACAAACAATAAACAGCTCCGTGGTTTACTCCAGAGACAACATAACAAACAATTAAACAGGCTCGTTGTTTACTCCAGCAGGACCAACAAATCAAAAACAATAATACAGCTCCGTGTTTACTCCATTTGAGACAACAAACAAACAATAAACAGCTCCGTGTTTACTCCAGAGACAACAACAAACAAACAATAAACAGCTCCGTGTTTACTCCAGCTCCGGTTACCGTCGCTGAGTCCCGGTTCCGTTATTTTACCGGCTGTTCGACGGGTCGGTGTGACGGAGCAGCTTAACGGTAGCTGCCGTCACTGAGCCCGGTGACAGGCTGTTATTGATTATTGATCGGTTCTCATATACTGCATACACACACCGGAAACAGCGCGGTACAACGAATACAGACTGTGGAAGGAACAAACAACAACAACAACAACAACAGACTGACAACACCGGAAATACAACATAACAACAACAATAATAGAAACAAAACAACACAAACTTTAAAACCGAAAGTAAAACTGTGAGCAGTTCTTTACTTAATGTGATTACATTAGTAACTGTTACACTGTTAGTTACTGTAGAAAGTTACTGAATCAGTTACTGAAGTATTGATCTGATCAATAGAGTGAATTCATTTCAACTCTTTAGGAATATTATTAATCAGTGAAATCAATCAGCTGATTATTGATTAGTACAGTTTCCCCCTGACTGTCTAAACCAGCAATATACTTAATGATCGATCGATTGATTAGTTCTTTAGCTTTGGACACACAGTTGTAGAAGTCTGAACTCTGAATGGATTTGATCATACGTTTGTTCTAAATGTGTTCTGATCTTTATTAACACACACACACACACACACACACACACAGTTACAGGTTTCCATGTTTTTATTGAACACACCCTGGAAACATTCCCAGTGCATTGTGGGAAAGTGAAGTGGTTGAGCGTCCTTTGAACCAGAGGGTTCCTGTAGAATCAGATCAGACCCGTTCACCGGTCAGGTTCCTCTTCACAGACCGGTTTCAGTAGAGCAGTACTGTCTGTCTCTGTCGAGGTCACAGCGTCTCAATCGGGCTGAGGACTGACGGGAGGTGTATTTTCTGTTGTTCATTAACTTCTGGGCTTTGGGTCGTCGTCCTGGTGATCTTCAGCTGATCTTCAG